TTTCTTTTTTTTTTTCCTCCTTTCTTGGACAGTAGGGACCTGCCAGTCCCTACTTGTGGCAGTCCCTACTGACGGCCAACTCACTCACTTCCTCTTACTCTTTTTGTCTTATTCTCCCACATTTTCTTTTCTTTTCTTTCTTTTTTCTAGCATGCCAAGTGTTAAGTGACCATTAAGGCCCTTTTCTAGCCCCTTCCTCTTAGTTTTGGCCCTTCCTATGCCCATGGTGCAGTTCGTTATATCTCGGACTGCAATAATGGCCTTCTCATGCCCATGAGAGCTTTCTTTTACTCCTATTTTTCTCCCACAATGGCCCCTCCTACTCCGATTTTCTCCCGGAGGCCTATTTTTCACATGGGGTCTCTTTTGACTACATTTTTTTGAGGGAGGCTGATCCGAAATTTTTCAGATTGCTCCCATGCCTCTTACTTCAAGTTTCTTTTCTTTTTCTTTTCCTTTTGGCCTTCCCGTTTGCTACCGCTAGTGCTTGCACTAGTGGTGCTAATATTCTTGGACGACAAGATGTCGATCTTAACGGTGCACCTTGCCTTTATTACTTTCCCTCATGCGGTGCCGCCGTTTTTTCTTGGGACTTTCACATGTCCCCGCCATTCGTCCCGTCGGTGGTCCCTGATACTTAGTCCCACCGGCGGTCCCCTGCACTTGGTCCCACCGGTGGCCCGCAGTACTTAGTCCCGCCGGTGGTCCTTGGCACATTTTGCCCCGAGTGCTATTTTTTTTACTTAGTCTCACGTGGCCCCGGGCGCCTTTCCCCATGGTGTCCCACGTTCCTTGTGCGTTTCCCACCCCATGGTGACCCCTCTCCCTTGTCTTTTCTCGCGCCTTGCGCGCGCCGGTTCCTTTGCTCGCGGACCTCCATCCCGAGGCTCCCGTAGATGACCCCCATATTGGCCTCTCATTCTCTAACTCCCCGCGGCCTCCGGGCCGTCCATCTCTCGACTTCCTCATTCCTTTGTCGCTGTCGCGCCACGTCTGCTGGTCCAAGGGGCCTTTGGCCTTAGTCTTGTTGAGTTCCAACGGCCCTCCCGGCCTTATGCTATGTTCTATGTGCCCCTGTTCTTGCGCTTATTCTCTTGTCATCGCTGGTTTTCTCCTCCTGTGGTTCTCACCCCAGGGCCTCACTCCCTCCTGTGGCCTAACCCCTTGTTTTTCCTCTCTCTTTCTTCCTTTTTCCAGATTTCTTTGTCGTGCACAATTTGTCTATATTCAGTCTCTCAAGTGATGGAAAGTTATTCGAGACCCACTAGTTCCGACACCGGCCACTAGAAGGATGTGGCGACAGCGTGGGAGCTGTGGCGACAACGAATGTATGTATGATGATGAGAGTATGCCGACGTGGCATTTTGGCTGAGGTGGCACTGCATTGCGTTGTGGGTGGTACCGAGGCTAATGACCGGTCATCGAAATGCACATCAGCCCGATTGGTGAAAAATCTGTGGTTGGGGGCAACTATCTCCTGGTACGTTGTTCCCATTCCTTGTCTACCTCTCAATCTCTTCTTACCGTGAGGAAGTGAGTCCAACTTGAGTGTCGTCTCTTTTGAAAGGAGTCGTGTGTGCTCTATCTTGAGAGACGACATTCTTCCCAGTGGCGCATCTGGCAGGAGAGGGCGGTGCCTATGAAGGGCCCTGGTCGAAGCACGGGTCACGGTCACCATGCCAACCCATGGGAGTAGTACACACAGGCCATGCTGCTTTTTCCATTGAGGCTCTTTGCTGCGCTAATAGAAGGGGTGTGCGGACTGACCAGTCCGACGGAGACACTCTTAAACCATCTATAAACATTTTTGGTTGGGGTCTGAACTGTCCACTGGCTGTGATCGTCGTCCTGATTGCGACGTTAACGAATTCCTGAGGACTCTCGGGGGTTGTCCTTAAATTGCCTCTTGATCAGCCAGATCTGTCAGACGTCAGACTCGTTGCACACGAGGGTAAACAAAAAGCAGGTTGGTCATAAGCATACTTCTTGGGCACAGGGGTGGGCCGTGGTTGCACACCTTAGACACCGCAGCTTGATGATGCTCACAGTTACGTTGGATACAGGGGAAGGGGATTCCAATTGAGAACTCAACTATACATCACTATCATATCCATTATGCATACATCTGCTCATTGTAGTTTGTTTTTATCTTGATTAGTTGGTTGACAGACTGCCAACACCTAACAAACAGCCTAGAGTAGGACTGTAATCTACCATAATCAGTTCTTCTGAAAGCTTCTGTGCAAAACTAATCAAAGATAGAGGTGAACTACATATGTACAGTTTGTGTAGGTGTTGTTGATGTCGCTTGACTAGTAGTCTAGGTAACTCGCCGGACATCGATTATTTTATTTGTTTTTAAAACCGGTCAGACGTATGCTGCGGTAGGTCCCAGAGAGGACATTAGTGTAAACGGCGTCTGCATAGCCCATGAGTGGATCAGAGGGTGGGGAAGATAGATCTGACGATATGAGGCAGACACGACGGGATACAAGTATAATACCCGTTGTGTTCCAGGTTCTACTAACAGAAGACGAAAGAAGGCTTAGGACCGAAGCAAGGGTCCGTAATCTAGAGACTGCGAGAGAGGTAGCGACGACAACTGAACGAGCGTTGGCAACAGCAGCAGCTAGCGCGGTAGCAATGGCCACCTCTTCAGCCACCTCTGCTGCAAACTCTACTGGTCAGAGTTTGGGTATGCCACTCAACACGATCAGTTCACAGTCCATCTCCAGTACGTCAGGAGCTGGCACTAGTCAGATGGCGGGTTCGCAGTTCAGCTCTGCCTCCATGCACCCGGGAGCAGATGGAGCTCCAACAGGTGGAAAGGATTCGCTTGAGGCTAGAGGAGGAACTCAAACAGGCTACTAAGAGAGAGAAAGAGATTAGAGACAGAAGTGTCAGACTAGAGGGTAGGGAGGCAGACAAGGCTGCACTAGAGGGGTTAGATGACTCGACCCTTCGCAATAACGAAAATATTTTTAAGGCGAACATCCTGTCAATGCATGCATACATGGATAGTAAACTGGATACAATCCAGGACACCTTGGACCAGATCCTGAATGCCATGCACAGGCCAGGAATCAGGCGAGCAGTCTTGCAATCGCTGCCATACTCAGCGATGACAAGCCCCTGTGTCGCTCAGTCCTGACCATCACCAAGTGGTACATCAGCAACAACCCTATCTCAGACTGTTGCTTCTTCATCTTCCAGTCCAGCGACTGGAGTTACACCACAGTCGTCACTTGTCCCGCCAGCGGGACAGCAATTACCTTGGTACCCCAAGACCCCCCTGAAACCACCTCCAACCGTCTCAGGAGACAAGAAGGATGAGGCTCTTGACACGTGGTTCAGAACGGTTCCAGTGTGGGTAAGGGCAAAGAGGACATTGGTAGAAGAGGAAGTGATAATTGTTGCATCCTACTTAGAGGGTTTAGCAGCTCGATGGCTTAATGGATTGGTAGCTTCAAAGGGGTTCGACAGGAACATGTGTGATTGGGCACAGACCCATACCCTAGAGAGCTTTATGGACTTAGTGGAGGCTCGATGGCACAACCCTCAGCAGGCACAAATTGCCACTAATGGGCTTCTAAAGCTTGATGCTAGAAAGTACAAGTTAGTGCGAGAGCTTACCACTACCGTAGAGCGCCTGATTGTCGTCCCAGGAGTGGAATACAATCCACAGATCTTATTGACCACGTTCTTAAGATGTCTTCCCACAGACATCAAGAACTTACTGGCCAGCGAGGCTCGGCGTGAGTATCACACCTTTGAGACATTCAGTAAGAAGGCCCTAGAATTAAAGGCTACGCTGGGTAGTGCTCAGACCCCTTCTACGGATGGAAGAAAGAAGAAGGCTCCACAAGAGTGGAAGAAAAAAGGTAGTCGATTGATGATGGTTGATTCCGATGGGAATCAAACTGAGATCGATGATGTTTCTAAACTTGTGGAGAGTGCAGAGTTGGACGGCGAGGAGAGTGATGAGGGTAGCAGCCTCGCCGCAGTAATTAAGACTAAGGCAGCAGGTTGCGGCAAGGGCGGTCGGCAAAGGAGTCAGGGGCAAGCCGCTAACCCAAACAAAATAGTTGCTTGGGTTATAGCAGACTTGGATCAAGAAGCGTGGCGGGACCGTTGGTCGCGTGGTGCTTGCATAAATTGTGGCGAGTATGACCATACACAGTTTAAGTGCAAGAACCCGAAGGTCTCGCAGAAGATCCCTCCTGAGGGTGGGTATCCTTCTTCTCACTCTAGGCCTCTATGAGCTTCAACTCGGGAAACACTTAGGGCCGGTAGAAGTTGTAGCTGCTTCTACTCTCGTTGACGCGGGAGGTGTACCCTCCCCGTTTCAAGAGTTGGCTGAAGCTATTGACTCCTTAGTCACCGCACAGATGCATCAGGACCCAACTATACTTGTATGTTGGATATGTTTGAAGCCTTAGAGGACCTTCAAGGTGAATTGTCGGCAAGGGACCCTCGTGAGTCCTGGGTGGCACTAAGTAAAGGCCCTAGAGGGGAGCACTTCGTTGTGGAAGTTGGTGTGGGTGGTCGCAAGTGCGGCGCCTTCGTAGACATTGGCTCCACACGAAACTTCATAAGTTGCGACTGCGTTGAGAGGCTGCGCCTAAAGGACCAGGTGCAGCGCCTTAGTAGACCGGTAGCATTGACTTTGGCCAACAAAGAGCGCATGATGGTGGAGGACTACGTTAAAGATGTAGTCTGCACTTTCTCCTACCTAGAAGGAAAACTACATCATAAGATATCATTCCTGGTGAGCGACGAACTGTCGTTTGACATGTTGTTGGGCATGTACTACCTCGAGGTTGCCAAGCCCCAGTTTGACTGGGACAAGAAGGTGTTGAAGCATGAGTTGCCTAATGGGAGGACCGTTAGACTTGCCAAGTATAAAGCCAGTAGGTTAATAGACTCCAATGGGTGCTTATGCGCATCTGCCTTCTACAACTATTATAAACAAAATCAAGAGGAAGGTATGTCCTTAGTTTATATCTCTACGAGAGGGGAGACCAGTAAAACACCCTCAGAGATAGAGACTATCGTCGCTAAGTACCTTGATCTGTTCGAGGAGCGCTCAAGAGTCGTAGACAAGGAGGTTCTCCATGCCATAGAGATCGTCCCAGGTAGCAAGACGCCTAAAGGGAGACTCTACGGGATGGCTCCGACCAAGTTGGACAAGCTTCGTCGGCAACTGAAAGAGCTCACAGAAAAGGGTTGGATTCAGCCTAGCACTTCCCCTTTTGGCTCACCAATCCTATTTGTTCCAAAGAAAGGGGGAACACTAAGGATGTGCATTGATTATAGAGGCCTCAATGCCATCATCGTTAAGAACGCAGAGCCTCTACCACGCATCGATGACCTATTGGATAGGTTGCAAGGGTGTAAGTACTATACCAAGATAGACTTAAAATCCGACTACCATCAGATTGCCATAAGACCAGAGGACCATCACAAAACCGCATTCCAAACTAGGTACGGTCTGTACGAGTTTGTGGTGATGCCCTTTGGCCTTTGCAATGCGCCGAGTACATTCCAGGACGCCATAAGCAGGATCTTCCATGACTACTTAGACAAGTTTGTCGTCGTGTACCTCGACGATATACTTATCTTTAGTAAGGCTATCGAGGAGCATGCTCAGCATGTAAACAAAGTCCTCTCACTCCTTCGGCAGCACAGGTATAAGATAAACAAAGAGAAATGTGAGTTCGGTTGCACTCGAATCTTATACTTGGGTCATGAAGTATCCGCGGATGGGATTAGGCCCGAAGATGCGAAGGTGGTTAGTGTAAGTGACTGGCCATGACCCCAGTCTGTGACTGAGGTCAAATCATTTTTGGGAATGTGTGGTTATTACTGCAATTTCGTAAAGAATTACAGTATGATCGCATCTCCCTTGACCGATCTAACTCGACTTGACACACCATGGGACTGAACCGACGAGTGTGAGGCATCTTTCAAGCGTTTGAAGCATGCTCTCACGCACCATGAGATTCTCATGGTACCCGACCCGCAAAGACCATTTGTTGTAACCACTGACGCAAGCCAATACGACATTGACGCAGTGTTGGATCAGCAAGAAAGGAAAAAGTTGAGATCGGTTGAGTACGTGAGCAAAAAGATGTCATCAAAGAAGTTGGCAAAGTCCACCTACGAGAGGGAACTCTATACTCTCTACAAGGCACTTGTCCACTTGAGGCACTATCTGTTAGGAAGGTTCTTCTACTTGAGAACTGACCACCAGACCCTCAAGTGGATCAAGACACAACCCCCTCTCTCCGATGCATTCAAACGCTGGATTGAAGTCATAGATCAGTATGACTTCAAACTTGACTATGTGAAAGGAGAGGACAACAAGGTTGCAAATGCATTGTCTAGAAGGGCAGATTACCTGGGTGCGCTGATTTATGAGCTTGGCTTATCTGAGGACGTGACTCGATCTTTGGGGAAAGCCTACAAGGAAGATCTCGTCACGATGGACATCATCAACAAACTGCAGGCCAAAGACAAGGCCACCATTGACGAGTTTGTGATGGTGGATGGGTTACTCTTTCTTGAAAAGGCAGGGTTTAAGAGGTTAGTTGTTCCATCTAGGGCAATTTTGCATAGTTTATTTTTAGGAGGATGCCACGACGCAACGGGTCATTTCGGCTACAAGAAGACTAGTGCTAATTTAGTACAACGAATTTGGTGGCGTAACATGCTCGACGATGCAATGAAGTACGTATAGATATGTCAGGTCTGTCAGCGGGACAAGCCGCAGACTCAAGCTCCGCTTGGGTTACTCAAGCCTTTACCCATTCATGCTGGTCCAGGGCAGAGCATCTCCATGGACTTCATGGATACTCTCGTGACCAGCAAGAATGGCAAGAGGCACATCTTCGTCATAATGGATAGGTTCACTAAGTATGCTAGACTAATTGCCATGTCGGAGACTGCCAGGACTTAGCACATCATTAAGTTGTTCATGGACAATTGGGTGCATGACTTTGGACCGCCAAAGACAATCGTTAGTGATAGAGATGTGTGTTTCACAAGTGAGGAAGAAGGCCGCTGAACAGATGGGCAGTGAGCTTCAGATGACTTCTGGGAATCATCCCGAAGCAAATGTGCAGGCTGAACAGATGAACTGTGTGGTGCAGCATCTGCTGAGGCATTACATCAAGCCCAACCAGGATGACTGGGATGAGAAATTATCTCTTATCGCCAACCTGTACAACAATATTGTACAGAGCACCACAAGCGTCAGTCCTAATCAACTGCATCTCGGATGGAAGCCTAGATCTGCTCTGGACTTCCTCCTGCCTGAAAACCGAACTGCTGCAACTCCTGGAACCATTGAATTTGGTGTCCTGTATGAGAAATTGTTGCAGCAGACTATCGAATACATCAAGAAATCTCAGGAAGCTATGATTGCTTCTGAGAACAAACGTTGCCGAGAGTCCACATTTCAGGTAGGGGAACGTGTCTGGGTCAAGGCTAGTGAGTTGGGACAGGAGTTTGGCATCTCTAGGAAACTAACGCCTCAGTATTTCGGTCCCTGGGAAGTCTTAGACATTGTGGGGAATAATTTTGATGGTCCCGCATTCGTCATTCATATCCTTGGTCACCTACGCACTTACCCTATTTTTCACGCCTTCAAGCTTGCACCTTTTGTTGAGACAACACAGTTCCCATCACGGAGATCTATGCTGCCCCCAACCATGGATGGCCACGTGGACGTCGACGACATCCTGGATCACAGAGACACGCCTGTTCCCAAGCCACCTAGCAGGGGAAGACCTCCTAAACATTGCAAGGGAGTACAAAGTACATTCCAGGCATCATACTGATCCGAAGGAAGATCGATGGATTTCAAGGGAGGAACTTGTCAAGACAGCTCCTCAAATTGTGGCAGATTATGAGAAGAAGCTAAAGGGGAAGGCACCAGCATGAAGCATCTCAGCAGACTTTCGAAGCTAAGGGGCATGGAATGTGAGGAACGAGCCCTCAAGGGGCCCTGTCAGACATCACATGTTCTGGGCTAAGGCCCCAGCAAGCCGAGTGCCCGCTGTCGTACCAAATACCCTTACAAGGGTATTTGGCATGCTTTTTGCAGATTCACGCCGGTGCGGCCTCGACTGAAGTTGACGGCACGCTCCCAGGTGAGAGTTGAGTCCTCGATCGGGTAAGCGGCGCGCGCGGGGTATCGACGTCGAGGTGCAACCAGGCGCGGCCTAGCGACATGGCGTCACAGGCCAGCGGGACGCGCGGCCCCTAGTCCCCTTACTTTTCCTATGCTCCCTCGCATTTTATATTTATTTTATTATTTTTTTTATTGTTATTCCTAGTTTTATTTTTACTGAACTCTTTGACTTAGGTGACCGGTTCTGAGACCGACGTCGGGACCTACGGGCCTGACTCGGCTATTACATTATCGGACACGGGTGGCCGTCGCGGCACTCGAGGACCTTGAGCACGGGCCTCTTTTTGTGGGCCGCGCAGGTTCCCGCGTGTTCTGGACGTTGACGAAATTCCTTTATCCTGTTCGTCTTGAAACATGAGCTGAGGAGTTCAACGTGCGTACGAGTCGGTGGGTAATTGGCCCACGAGGCGGAAGAAAACCGGGATGACGGGTGCCCTTGGCGGGCGCATAGATTACCGCTCACGATCTGATGTGAGAGGTTTGAGTGTAAGCGTGCCTGGCCCCAAGGCCTGCCGTAAAACGTTCTGAGTATGAACATGCCCGTTGGGGCCCGACAGACGGGACTGCGCACGGGCACGAGCGGCTCAGGGCACTGTCGGGAGGCCCGCAGCAATGCTGGCTGCAACAGGCTGTTCCCTTGGAACCATTCCTGCGTCGGCCTTCAAAAGTCCCATTTAAATATTTGCAGCTACCGCTGAGATCTGCACCGGGACCCGCTTCACCTAGGCACAAGCTGCTGGCACAAGCTGTTGGCGTTGCGGTAGGCCCAGCACCCTCCCACTTGCAGCAGCGTTGGAGCAACCACGGCTGTCAAGCACAGGTCGTGTGCTGCAGCACTATCAGCCTTCGGGCTGATCGAAGTTCGGCAGGTGAGTTGATCCATACTCCTTAGCAGAAATAGGCTTCATCGACCACCATCCCGCTGCCTGTATCACCGAGCGCGCCGTGTGGTGCCTGGGTTCGAGTGCAGTGCGGCACCAACCGGTATCAGAGGTGCTAAGGTAAAAGCTCACAGCGAAAGCTACCATGCAAATTGTTTGACAGACCTGGGTACAGTGGGCCAGGGGGCACCAGTGGGAGGCTGCCGCAGTGTTGACTGTGCGGCAGGGCTGTCCCAGCGGTTGTTCCGTGGGACACCTCTCCACCTCCTTGGCCTTCAAAGTTCTCATTTGAAGATTTGCTACTGCCACCAAGATCTGCACCACGGCCGCCTCACCCAGGCTCACGCTGCTGGCTTATTAGCGGGCCTCCACCCTCCCACTTGCTGCAGCGGCAGAACTGCCTCGACCAACGCTGCTCCATCATCCGGTCAGGGCTGATTGATTTCGGCAAGTGAGTTGTTAATCACCCCTTAGCAGATTTCGACTTCAGTGCCCGGCGTCCTCCTGTCTGTACCGGCCGGCGCATCTTCGCAGCTTCTGGATTAGCGCACAGTGGCATAGGGCGGAGAGAGGCAAAAGACGGATGAACCTGGATGGGGTCTGACGCAGAGTGCATGCGGGGCGAGGAAGAAGGACGCAGCGATGGGAAGGGGGCAGCCATGGCGGCAGAAGAGATGATTCTGCGCCCGTTTCTCGACGGAAACGGGCGAATAAAGGCTCACTTCTAATGTTTTTGGGCATGGCGAATTGATTGGTAACGTCAGTTTGGATGATAAGTTAGTGATATAGGAGTTAGTAAAAGGAAAACGTGTGCGGAGAGATGGCGGAAACGAGGAAGAAGGAGAGTGGAAATCACATATCTCGCTCGTTTCCGGATGAAAGATGGCGGAAACGAGGAAGAAGGAGAGTGGAAATCACATATCTCACTCGTTTCCGGATGAAATAGAGCGAGGGAGGATGCGAACTAGAGGTTTTGGGGTGCTCCGAGTCGGATGGCAGCGTCGGTCTTGACGGTAGAGCAATAGTTAGGCCGATATAGGCACCAGAGGCTGCCTTGAGGGCACTTGGGAAGGGGGACTTTGGAGTAGCAATACATCTGACGGGAAGATTCATTTCAGTTCGTTTTGATACTTGCCTTGAGGGCAGCTCATCTGTCCGTGTTCTTACGGCAGATTCATTCTCATTTTTACACAGATGGTGATTTGTGGCGCAATACGTTTGAGCTTCGCCGTCCTCACTATAGTAGTAGTGGTCTTCTCCTCTGCAGTCGCAAGTACCTCTCGTCACAGTGGTAGTCATTATCACTGTGGCCTTCTTCGTCACCGTTGCAGAAGTGCTGCTCGTCTTCGTAGTCTCGTCACCGCAGTGACGGGGTGACGAAGAGACGAGCCAAGGCAGCTAATGGAAAAAGACGAATCTGGACACGAAGCGGCGCCAGGTGCATTCGAGGATTGGCATGCCGGATTTGAAGGGGAGGAGATGGTGATGAAGGTAAAGAAAATTGTAGCACCCCGGTTTCCTAACAGATTTAGTTGAAGTAAAAACTGAATCACATGTTTTGGGGCGGGGCGAACCTGGTGGCAAAGTCGGGTTTTGAGTTGAGCGGCTAGTTTCCATGATATGTAGAAAATGAGCTGCGAAGGAGGTAGTGGAAGCAGATATGGCAGGGATCCAGAATTAGTGTATTTGGGTCATTTCTTGACCTATTTTGATGAAGTAAAGCTCTAAACAGGGGTTTTGGGTCACTGTGAGTGTGATGGCGATGTCCGTTTCGGCTCTTGAGCGACGTATGGGGCGCCGCGATGGTGAAGGGCTGTGCGTGAGAAAAGAGGTTTCACGAAGAGTATGTATCTTTCCGTGTTTTAGCGGAAGATTCATTCTCATTTTTTTTAGAACTGATGAAGTGATAGAGCAGGCTGCAAAGTTGTGATGGCAGCGGTCCTCCTCGCCGGTGGGATTATGGTCATCCGAGTCGTTGTTCAGTTGTCATCCTCATCGTCTACATAGCCATTACCTTCGTTTCCCGTGGCTACGTTCTGCATTCTCTCGGTTGCCCTCTGCATCGTTTGCACGAGACCATGACCTCCTTCGCCCCTGTTTCATGAACGTTTGTCCCACATTCATTTTCAACGGGGACATTCTTCGTCCGCTGTAATCATCTAAGGAAAGAGAACTTCAAGGCTGCATGGACTGCTTCCTGCTGTATGCATCTGGATGGGAATGCGGGCAGGTACATAAGGTGAGGGGGCTGGATTTGAGAAAAGATGGACAAAGGGGAGGACTGATGAAAATCGAGGAGACTTACCTACAGATATAGACCTGGCCGTGAATACAGCTAGATGTGCAGGGCTCGGGCAGATGGGAGAACCCATCACGCCCAACTGTTGGATAATCGACTGGTCTAAGCAGCACAAGGGGTCGGTGATGCTGTGTGACTGCTGGTCACTGGGCAATTTGACTACTGTAGTAGCTCTTGCTGCGCCATTGTTGTACGATAGACTGTTATTTCTGCGGCGCTTTCTGCTACAGCGGCTACTGTGTCTGGTATGGATTGTTGTACTTGCTGCACCCTCATTATGCATTGCGGCACAGGGTGCAAGGCACTGTTGTATTTCAATATAGAAGCACGGGCATGTGCTCTATTCGAACTGAGGCGCTGCTCTTTCTGTCAAACAAGAGAAGCGAGGAACCAGGCTACGGGATAGAAGACTTACTTGTTTGACCTGTACACCGTCCTTCCGACCATCAGACTGTAGCAGCAAAGAAGTCGAATGCCATATCGGAGGTTTGCCTGTTTGACTAGGGCGCTGACCACCCCATCGACTAAAGTGGCGGAACTCGGAGGCAAACTGCGGAATAGCAGACTTGCCTGCTGGCCGGTGTGGTGCTTGCCCAATTAGTGGGCACAAGAACGGGTTAGCCGCAAGGCTGCAAGCCTAGTCATTGGCTGGCGTGTTGATTCTCCTGTTGTGTAAATTGGCTGGAGACAACTTGAAGCCGCAAGGTCGCCAACTCACTTATGACCATCGGGCTCGTTGTCACGAGAATAACGGGGGATAACCACAAGACTTGGAAACTCATATGTTGATTAGTGTGACGTCCTTCCTATCAGCAGGAGCAGCAAGGAGTGAAGCTGTGAGGCTGGATACTTGCCTGTTGACCGGCGCGCTGCTCATCCTACTTGGTTGAAGCAGCGGCAGGCCAGGCGTAGGAGGCAGATTTGGTTGCTAGTTGGTGCGTTGCTCATCCTACCGGACGGGATAATAGGAGGTGAGCCGCAAGGTTGTGGATCTACCTGTGACCAAGTACCCGTCAAGTCGCAAGCTTGTGGAAGGGCTAAAATAATTGAAGGAGAATCTTTGCCGCTAGTGGGAGAGT